AAACCTAAATCTCACTTAACCGCCAGGATGGCGCCAGGGTGACACCGGGGTGTCAAAAGGTTAAACAAAGTTAAACTGTCAACGTGGGGCGCAAGATATGTATGTAGCCATGAAGAAGTGCCTTGAAAATGCTATATAAACCCTTGGCTTTGAGTGCTCAGGGTCCTTGTTGATACCCGCTGCGCCGGGCGGATACTTGGACTCCAGCCAGCTGGAGATAAACCTCGCTGTGTGACTTGCATTATCGAGAGTGTTCTCTAATTGAGGGGTGGTCGACTCCGTACCCTAACACAGTAAACACTTTGAGGGAACTTATGAATGGAAAATAACTATAATTAATCATCAATTAAAATAATTACTTATAGTGATAGCATTAAAAATAATCATGATCAAAGATAAAGAGCAATATTTTAATGTATATACTTTCTGCAATATTATCAAAACTTTCCTGATATCTCAAGGGCCCTGTATTTGATGGAGAATGAATGATTATTTTTAATTATATTTTAGAAAGTGACAGTTTTCCATATTGGTGCTTTAGAATGTTTTTCTCCTTTCAAAAAGTATAAAACAACTCAGTCACTGTTTCTAAAAATAAAAGAAATGAATTGGAAACTCTTCCATGTTCAGCATGCTTCCGATTATAAACTTCTAAAGAGCAGGGGCTGTCAGGACTTTTTAATTTAAAAAGTGGGTTTTGTTTTTTTTTTTTATATTTTTTTTTTTTTTTTTTACCTATTTATGACCTTTTTTTTTCTTTTTTTTTTTTTAAATTAATTCCTATTTTTTTTTTTTGTTTTGGGGGTTTTTTTTTGTTTTTTTTTTTGTTTTTTTGGTGTTTTTTTTTTTAATATCAGGGCAACTGCCGGTGATTATATAAAGGCCCAAATAAAAAAAAAAAAAAGAAAACATTTCCCTATTTAATGTCATGTCCCAAAATAAAAACTTAGCAAAGCGTAAAGCAAAGTATATTTTCCCATAGTGCAGCTCAAGCATTTAAGGACACTGGTATAATATACTTTAATATAGGTTTTTAATATAGGGTTTTTTTGTTTGTTTATTTGTTTGTTTGTTTGTTTTCTTTAATGCAGTCTTGATTCGGTTCTGAGGCCCTGGCTAGAGATCCCCTTCTTGAATAAACCCAGACCACACACTACTCCCCTTCTAGAGCTCTTAACGGTCCTAGATCATTATGCAACCTCCCTAAGTGCCACAGCTCTTAGGTACCAGGATAACTGGGGACAGACCCTATGCCCTAGATTTTCAGGAATTATTCAACTATTAGTCAATCCATGGAGAGCCCCGGAAACATCCCAGCCTATTTGCCATGCATAAACTGCCCCCTGAAATCCCAGTTTCTTTTTAACCTATTCTTTGTTGCAGTTCTCTGCGCGGCCCCTGCCCAGAGGCATTTTCTCCTTCAGAGCTGTAAGTAACAAAAACTCTGGGTTTTCATCCCAGTGTTGTGTTGTCTTCCACATCGTGGTGGATCTTTAAATCTTATACAGCCGTCGAGTACCTGAAAGACTTACCTAAGAACATACAAAATGTCTGTAAATTTACTTATATATTTTATCAAAGACTTTCAAATTTATTCATAAACATAAATCATTAAGTACAATTCTCAGAGAGCGATTAATATTGTTTAATGGAAAGAAACTAATTTTCTTTCAAGTCAAAGATTTTGGATAGTACACATAAATTTTGACTGTGATGTCTTCAATTGTCAATTACCTGTAAGAGGAACTTTCAGAAAAAGGTAGAAATGACATAGAGGGAACAAAGTCCATCTTTCACCTTGTAAAGAGACAAGCCTTTTTAAATCAGCTAACTGGTAATGACACCTATTCATTCCTAAGGACACCTTTTGCTCCCTTCTTTGTTCACTGCTTTTAAAATAATTGTTTCCCAAGATAACCTGAAAACTCTATGAGGACAGGGTTGACATTGATTTTGTTCACTGATGTATTCTTGGTGCCTGTCACAGTGTCAGCATATAGTACATGCTCAGTAAATATTTATGGAATAAATAAATGTTACTAGTTCTGAAAAAATATGCTCTTTGTTAAAATATGTCACTCACTGCTGAAGACTAAGGATTCACATATACTCACACACATACACACTTTCTCAATCTCTGGATAATATTCTTAATTTAATGAGAGGGTAATGAATGTTGGATGAAGCTATTTTAAAAATAATCTTGCATATTCTCCCTTTTTTATGTACTCAATAAAAACCTGATTCTATTGCTATTTCTGAGGTAACCGATTATTTGTTTTCCTTTGGAGGTATTAACAACAAGAAAAACTTAATGGTTCTAGAAAGGTAAAAATGAAAGGCTGGTGTCTAGTCCTCAAGCTAGATTATACATCAAACTGGTGATTACTTTACCTCCATTGATGTCTTGAAAGGAGTGAATATATTTAACAGAAAAGTTAAATAATTCATTTATTAGCTGTCACAAAGTATTGCTAGGCAAAGAGATGTGTTGTTGAGGAAGCTTTTGGTGTGATGTTTGTTAAATCAGCATCTTCTATTATAATTACTTAAGGTCTGCCTTTAAGCAGAGGATATTTTTAATTATTTCTCAGAACATTTTCAACCCCATAAAATTTTAATTAACAATTAACATTGTTCATAGATCATCACTATTGCTTAGCACTATAAGAAATCAGAAGACTTGAGAAGTCATTTTTTTTTTCCATTAATGGATTTTAAATCTAGTTGGGATAAAACAAAAATAAAGTGATCCTCATGAATGTACAGAACCTCCCCCAAAAGATGAAAGTATCATTAAGGCAAGAATTGAGGGAGCTCAGTTAGGACATTTGTCATTCATAAGAGGAGATCTGTGAAAATCTTCAAGGTGCATATGAGCTATGAATTGTTGTAGTTATGGAAGTTAGTGGTGGTACTTGGGAAGCAAGCTGACCTTGAAAGAATAAGTAATTAAATAAAAGAAAATGGAAGAGGCAAAAAGCATCTTCTAAATTTGTGGTCTCAACATATGGAACATGGTTTGGTTTAAGCAAAATGTGTTAGATTTGTGGATATAGAGTCCTTGAGCACACCTCTGTGAACCTAAAAGGAAGAAATTAGTTTGAACTTTTGAAGCGTGGGCAGAATTCAGAGGGCAAAGAAAGGCCCATAGAGAAATTTAAGTTAAATATACTAGGAAGTTAGTAATCATTGGAGATTGGTGAGAGAAATAGTTTTGAGTAACAAACATGTGTTTAAGCAAAATAAAACTTTTCTCTTTTGAGGGGATGAGAATACAGGTCAAATGAAAAGGAATTTTAAAGTTATTCTAAAGAGAAGATTTTAGATTTTAAAAATGACTAAAATTTGAGCTTGTAGGAAATGGTAAATTTCAGCCATGTTGTTTTCACATCTGGTGTCCATGGCGATGTTGCTCGTGTTTTGGGGTCTCGAGTATTGGCCATCAACTTTTACCTGTTTTGGAAGGTATTTTTCCATATGCAAGGAATAACTGGAATATTAGTAAGCCAAACAGATGTTAATATTAAAAAAAAAAACAACAAAAAACAACCCACAATTATTGGGCACTTAAGTGCCAGTAGTGCTAAATTGGGTTTTAGCAAAAACACACATTCCAGTTGTTAAGTGTTTTAATCATTGTTGAGGCAATCATGCAGATGTTTTCTTCATTTTCTTCTACGTTTTTACTCTGATAACTCTCGAGTCTTGCCTATCCAGGTAACTTCATTCGTAAAATCAATTCCTAATTTCCAGTCTATCACTTATCACTTGACTGTTTAATCAAGGGGAAAAGAACAAAGCAAAACAAATTTTTCCTAAATCATTTTGGCTATTGTTTTTCAGTAAAAGGTTAATTTCCTTTTTATAGAATCAGAAAAGAGTTTACTTTTGAAATCTGGTTAAAATGTATGTGCTAGACTGCCTACTAGTAAAAACAAACAAAAAAACCCCACACACTAATAGATAAATATCTATGATGACTTTTTCCCCTGAATATTGGACTTCATGTGATCCAATTTGCAACTTAGCTAGACTTTCCTTCTAGTGAAATCCGGTTTATTTAATACACTTAGAAATATAGAAAATAGTTTAAGCTTGGAAGGAACCAAATGCTGTCTTTAGATGCAAATGACTTTTTATTTACTTGGATTTCAGAATGTTTGCAGCAGACTAGGTGTTCCTTTAATAACATACACATTAATTAAAATATTCTTTTAATTATTTTTGATTTTTTTAAATGTGCAGTTATTTTCATGTGATTTCATATAAATTAACATGTGTTTATATGGAAAAATGGTATTTTATGTAACCACTTATTTACTTTTATTTTTATATTTATTTATTTTTTAAAAAGATTTTATTTATTTATTTATTTGACAGTGAGAGAGAGAGAGAGAGAGATAGATCACAAGTAGGCACAGAGGCAGGCGTGGGGGGGGGCGGGGAGCAGGCTCCCTGCTGAGCAGAGAGGTGGGTGCAGGCCTTGATCTCAGGACCCTGGGATCATGACCTGAGTTGAAGGCAGAGTCAACCCACTGAGCCACCCAGGTGCCCTAGAGTACTTTTAATATAATATTTCAAGCAGCACTTTTGCATTTTATTTTTATGGAGTTATATATTCACACATTTTTCAACATCGTACGTACAATTTTCCTATTTTTCATGATTTCTCATAAATAAGAGCTTTTTAGTTGAGGATTAGAAGATAAATCAGTAATAATACATATGCCATAGAAAGGGTTGATCTGAAATGATGTATCTGTTTACTTTTGTCTGTTTCTAGCTGTAAGTGAAGGCCTAAGGAAAGAGATGATTCTTATTTTCATAGCAAGGAATTTGATTCCTTCTTGAAAGCATTTGAATTCTTCGAATTGTTTAAGTTACGCTTTTCATGAGAAAATGAGATCACTGATGCACTTTTTGTCTAAGGAGACAATTTTACATTAAAATTCTAACCACTTTCTTTTCTTATTCTCTCTGTCTCTTGCCCTCTGTAGATGGGCCTTTGGGTCCCCGAGGATTAGCTGAAGCTACAGAGATGTGCACTCAAGAGTGCTTGGTTTTGGGTCACTCTGATAATTGCTGGATGCCTCCTGGCTTGGGTCCATATCAACACCCTAAATCTCCTCTCTCAACCTTTGCACCCCAGAAAGAATGGGTCAAGAAGGACAAGCTTGTGAATGGGCACACCCTTACCAGATCCTGGAAAGAAGATAGCAACAGGAACCAGTTCAATGACCGTAAGCAGTATGGCTCCAATGAAGGCCATTTCAACAATGGCAGCCACATGACAGACATTCCTCTGGCAAATCTGAAGTCTTATAAGCAAGCAGGAGGTACTATTGAAAGTCCGAAGGAGCACCAACTCTAAAAAAAAAAAAAAAAAAGCTATATGGGACCTAATAACTTTAATCTAAATAGACATGCTAATACCCTGTGTGTCAGAGCTTTATGTATTCAATAGATCTCTATAACTATGCCCCTTTATAGCAGGGATATCCATAACTTTGTGTTAGCACCATGGAGGATACAATATTTTACAACATTTTTATGTTATGTTATGAGAAGATAGTTCTACTAGCCATGTGATCTTGTTTACTAGAATTGATTAAACTCTCCAGAGATCACTCCATTGTGCAAATATCCTTTTTTTGTTTTTTTGTTTTTGTTTTTTGTTTTGTTGTTGTTGTTGTTTTTTAATTGAATTTTACTTTTGACCCTGGACTGCTGCTATGAACAATAGAATATGCATTTGGAGAGTAAGAAAGTTCCATGGATTAGAGTGACTGACAAACATATCCAGTTAGAAACTTGTGCTCTTTTTGTCATTGATTTGTGCTGGGACTGCTATACTTGATATTTTACTTCAAGCGAAATTTAAAAAGATAAGCATTAAACTTATCGTATCGTACTGTTAACAACGTTAGTGGATACTTGTAAGTCAATCAGTGTTAAAGTATTTGTAAATAGAAGCAAGTTATTATTAACAACTTTTGTGTACTTACGATGTTCACCTAAAAACTGCTGTAGCATAACTCTGTGTTTTATGGTTGCTTCTTCCTTCTTCTTAATTTGCCTCTTTGTCGTTATTTTTGTTGTTTCTTTTAGTGAGGTGTTTCTGCGTTAGTAGTCTGTCTTGACACACATTGTTCAAAGGATCTCAAATACTTGTGTTTAAAAAAAGGTTCTGGAATCTTGCTTCTTCTGTGACCGCTTATGATGCTAGGCTTCTGTTAAAAATAAAGATAAGACGAAAAGTTTATATAAAAACAGGACTTCTGCAAAAGCTTGGAAATTCAGAACCTATTTTCTTGACATCCTTGTTTTCAAAGTAGGCGAAGCAAAATCGCTTAATTAGTAGCATTAAGTGAGAGAGTAATGGGAAAGTGTTAGCCTTCAGAAAGTAATATAATATCCTGTACTTGTCACTCATACAAAACTAATGTATCAAAATTAGCATATATCAAAGAAAAATTACTATTCAAAAATAGTTTCAACTGGGCAAATGTGTGTCTACAACTTTGTTGAAATGGCAGAGTTTGTGTTGATCCTCATATACAATAATGTTGTTGTAACACAAGTGTTAGACCATAGCCACAAAATATTTAATGTGTTGTGCCTTCATGATGTAACAGAACATTCTCCAGGTAGGCTAGTTGGGGGAAATAAAGGGATAAATCTCTAATTATTGCTGTTTAACTGTTTGTTATCATAGTCGGTCAATGCCTGGCAGGTACCAGCATCTTGTCACTTAGGTCAAACCAGCAGAGTGACAACTAATGTTAATAAGATCTCAGTTGCACGTGCAAACAAATCCAAATTCGAACATTCTTAGGAGGTTTTTGTTAAGGCATGACAGATGATTTAAACAAATAAATAGCATGCAACAAAATGTCTTTATTGAAAGAAGTGAAAGTTATCTTAATGCCACGGTTCAACATCAGTTTAAAAGTTAAAAAAATAAATAAATAAAAAATAAAAAAAAAAAAAAAGGTTTGCTAATCTGATAGTTAATTTGTTCTTACCAAAAATAAAATTACTTTGTAAATAGCAATTCACGTTTTTCCACAGTATAATGGAAAATAATGGGTAGGGGTGCATTGCTTATTGCAGTACATTTTTTGTCGGTTTGTGAGGGGTGTTTGATGACTTTGACAGAATAAATATCTAAACAATTATCCTTGTTACTGCTTTGCCAGTTCTACGTTATTTACAACTATTCAGCTCTTGCAATAAATGTTCTGAATTCCTGATCGTAGCGTGTTAATTCTTGGTCAACATCCAAAGCGATGATTTCTACTCTAATTGTCGTACAAATATATGTTGATAAAACAGCTCTTAATTAGAAATCAAGGCAGACTCATTAGGGGCTGACTACCTGTGTTCTGAAAACAGGTTTCAAGTTTTAGTTACCCTCCCTTAGTGGTCTGTGCAATCGTTTTCTAGGGAAATTCGTGGAGAGAGTTGGTGCGCTTTCTAGTCACGATGCATGCAAGTTTTATCCAAGTGGAATCCCGTGTCAGGAAGCTGGCAGGGGGCACTAGTTAGTGCAGTTACCTTCTTGACTCTCAGTCTCTTCAGCAAGATTGCATGAAACAAACTCTCATATATTTTATTGTTGGCTAAGCAGAAGAAGATTATTCTAGGACTAAGGCCTTGAAACAAGGGCGAAAACTTCATCTGTATTTATTTCAGGTTAGGAAAATAGGTAGAGAAAGCTATCGAGGATCATAAGACATGCTCACACACGTGCCAGGTGCTTCTATTCTCCAGAGGGCAGCTGAGTCCCTTTTCACTCATGTTGGGGTCTGAGGGTAGGTAATCTGGTCTGACTCTTCCTCTAGAGCTTTCTGAAGCCCTAAGAAGTAGGACTCAGGAGTTAGAGACATGGAGATAAAGATATTCTCTTGCACCGTGACTGGGTTTGAAACCATATTCCATCACCTCTGAGTAAGCCCGACTTACCAGTTACTCAGGCGCACCTACAGGGGCGCAGCCTGCCCCAGGGCACAGAGAGTGAATGAATCCTGAAGACAGGCTACTCTAGAAAAGGTAAAAGAAAATAAAATTCATGCCTGCACAGTCTTTCTTTAGGTTTTACCAATTAGATAAGTCATTCCCCTCTGCCTTTTAGAGTGAAGGGTGAGAGAAAGTAAAACAATTTCTCTTATATTTTTCTTTCCCCTAAAGAGTGGAAATATACTTAAATTAAAAAAAAAAAATAAATAAAAACAGGGGAAAAAAGAGAGAGAACAAACCACAAGTTTGGGAAAGAAGCTCCCCATCCCTACCATACTGTATTTCTTTGAATAAATACAATATAACAATATCTACTCTTTTTTTTTTTTTACAATATCTTTGCTTTTCAAGGCATTCAGTTATATGCTCTGAAATTTTATTTATTTATTTTTTTGCCCCATGAAATTTTATCGTTGATAATATCACAAACCAAGATGAAGAATGTATCAAGTAAATAAACTAGTATATTCATAATGACTATTCCTTCAGTATTATACACATTGTTTGATTATGTAGACATTGAATATTATGAATCATTATTTACCTGGAAACTAAAGCCATTTACATTTCCTAGAAAAACACACCTATATGAAAGGTACAAAGATAATAACTTTTAGAGTAACTAGCAGACGTTATGATGCTATATATTAATGTTTTTAAGGCAGGTATAGAAATAAACTTTATAAAGCTGAATATGACCTATTTGAGTATTTCTACACATACTATAACATAAAATATATTTTTAAATAACGGCCATTCATTAATAGGTCATTTGTGAAGAGTCCTTTTGCTGCACTATTTAGCAGATCTCCTTTGGCATAAACTGATGCTCCCTGCCCCCATCATTCCTTAGCTAATGCTAGAAATACAGCTGAGGCCCCAAAGCCCTTCTAGTATTTATTAAACTCTCTTGGCTAGAAGCCAGGAATGGCTAATTATTATTAGTGAGGAGTTTTGGCAGCCAGGGATGAAAGGGATGCCTTGTCGGTTTCAATTCTAATGTGGATGCCAGGGTGTCGCTTTGTAAGAGGGCAAACCAAATTATGAGAAGGAGGAGTGCTGTTGCCAGTTTAAAAATGCTTCATTGTTCTGCTTTGTTTTAAACAGAGCTGATCTTCTCTCCCTCAAGGAAGCTCCTTCATTGGTTCTTTTGGGAGAGATTGCTTTTAGATTCTCCCAGCGTTCTTAAAGGCACAGAGATCACATAATGAGTACTCTATATACTGTTCCTTTCTGTTCACAACTACTGATCTGAATTTTAGTGGATATCAACCAGGCTTTTCACCATTGAGAAAATGCAAAATTGTCCTCTTAGGATTGGAATATCTTTGTAAGATAAATACCATTAAAACATGACCATCATAATAATTTTGCATTCACATTTAGTTCACTCAAAGTTTAAAGTAATGGGTATCCTCAAAATATCAATTTTCTGTTATCTTGATGCTACCATCATCTGTTTTAAAACATTAAATAAGGACTTTATTTTACACTTCTATAAATGCATCTTATCTTCTTATGTCTTAAAATTCTTAGTGTCCTGCACACAGAAATGAGTTCTGTGCATTTTTATTTTACTAACGTATTACAATTTTCTTGAAGCTTTATAGTAAAAATCTCTTTTGAAGTAGTCTTTCATTTTTTATCCTCATATTTTCTCTTCAAAGTCCTATCGTTGGGACACCTGGGTGGTTCAGTCATTAAGCGTCTGCCTTCAGCTCCTGTCATGATCCCATGGTCCTGGGATAGAGCCTTGCATTGGGCTCCCTGTTCAGCGGGGATCCTGCTTCTCCCTCTCCCACCCCCCCTGCTTGTGCTAGTGTTTCCTCTCTCTCTGTATCTCTCTATCAATTAAATAAATAAAATCTTTTAAAAAAATAAAAAATAAAGTCCTATTGTTGTAGTCTTATTAGCATATATACAACACAATTATTATTGGACTTATTCAATGCCAGCTAACCTAGAATTCATATATTTGCAAATATGTTCAACTGCAGTGATTTTTCAAAGAATATCACAGTTCCACTGTGTCTTTTCTAGATCTTTGTTGTTCTTTTTAAAATTTTTTATTGAGCTATAACTGACATATAATATTACATTAGTTTCAGGTATACAACATGATTTGCTATTTGTATATATTGCAAAATGATCACCATAACACATCTGGTTAACATTCATCACCATTCCATTATTATAATTTTTTTTCTTGTGACAAGAACTTTTAAGATTTTCTCTCTTAGCAACTTTCAATTATACAGTATACTGTTATTAACTATAGTCACCCTGCTGAACATTATCTTTGTGGTTCTTCTAACAGGAGTTTATTATTTCACTTCCAAATTCGTCATTAGTTATGAC